TATTTTTTTGTCCGATAATATAATTTTTGTATGTTTATAATGAACAATGGCTAATGCTTTTCTTTGATGATTTCCTTTCTTCCAAATCTTATATCTAATAAGATAATCATATTATCAAAGTTAAGAGTAATACCTTTTTTACATACAATACGATCTCAAAAATGTATAATTTACATAACTCTTAATGCCAATGAATTGAAACAATACAATTATGTTGATATTTTTTTAAATATCACCTTTGTGGAATATCTTAAAACTAAATGTACTTCGTAAATTTTTGAAGAAATGTACTTACAAGAGGATGATCAGCTTGGTGGGTCACGAATTTGGATCAAACCTTTATTGGTGATTCTACATTCCAAAATATCGCACAAGTATCGTTCAATTATTGTGAATAGTTTCGCTAAAAAATTGAAAGTTTCCGTTTTTTAATGATTTTATTTCGTCATTATACTTACTCAAATCATCTATAAGATCCATCCATCCCTAATCATCGCTAACCGTCAGAAACGATCCAAGTTCCATCATGATTCCTGAGAGGAGCTGAGACAACGGTATGACGCAGGATACGGTTTGTACGTCGCTACCCTAAATGTATATTCAAATTAATTAAGATTTTTAGTAGAGTCAAATTTAGAAAAATGGCAAAAAGGAGGGAAAATTCAAAAGGTGCGGTTGAGATGGAAGTTGGTGTCCGAGTGGATCGAGGTCATGATAGCTCAAGTGGTAGAGCAGCGGCGTATCAAGCCGAAGATCGTGGGTTCGAAACCCGCTCGTGCCATTTGCTTTTTTATCTCAACTAAAAACCTTAATTAATTGTAATATATTAATTGGTCAAGCTGACCACGAAATTAGTGAATTGTATATTTAAAAATTAATCAAACGGACCTATAGTTCGGCATGACACAAACGTTGTACGGGTTTAGCCTAATCCAAGTTATTATTGATATTCATAATTATCTAATCGTTTTGAATGAAGTTTTCATTCCATTTAAGCAGGGAACACACCCAATGCAACGCTATGCGACACTACCCGACGCCTTGACACGTTTTGGTAGGGTGCGCACATCTATGCGATGTCAAGCGCACGCCACGTACAGTCAGTCAGCTTGTACTACAGTAATCACTTTCATAATCGCAACTCCTCTTTTGTTCTTAAAGCATTATTTTGAGCAAAACCTTGTAATAAATTGTTAGTTAAATTTTATGAGCATAATCATGTAATAATTCGTTTGTTAAACTTAATTGTTTAAAATAAAGTTATTCCGGTGTTCGGTGTTATTCGGTGTTTTGATAAATTTTCTTCCTGATCATCATAATTAAATAATTTGTATAAAAACTCATGAATTTTGGATTTCGTTTCATTTGGTTTACATTAGAATAAGAATGTTGTAATTAATATAAGGACAACATTACATATACATAGTTTGAAATAAACTACAAAAACTATGAGTGTCCTGTTATGACGCTACTCGACGAAAACGGTGTAATTTTATGAGCAAAACCGTTTAATAAATTGTTAGTTAAATTCATTATATCGAAAAATGGTACTCCGGTTTTTTGATCAATTTTCTTCCAAACGATTAAAATTCATTTTTTTAAATAAAAACTAACGAATTTTTGATCTCGGTTAATTTGGTTTATATTAAAATAATTATGTTGTAATTAATATAGCGACAATAATAGATATAGTTTGAAATAAAAATATGAATGTCCTATTCTATTGTCTTCGACTGTACTCGATGCTACCCGACGAAAATCTGGACAGTCGGGATTGCGTAGCGTAGAGTAGGGTAGCGTTGCGTGGCATCGGGCAGATGTGCATCTTATGGAAAATTGGACTTTGAATTTACGTCGGTATCATCGGGTCGCGTTGCATCGGGTGTATTCCCAGCTTTAATGTTACTTAATTTTCTGTTTTTAAATCATTTAAAAATTTATCTTTAAAACCCCATTTAAAATGAGCGATTACTGATACATATACATAAACGCATGCACAGAGTTAAGCCTATCACTTATCACAATTGTCACGTTCCTGGGCAGACCGTGAGTCAAGGAGGAAGTCAAAACCCCTTTCAACCGGAAGGATCTCGGAAGGTGTAAATGAGGGCGGGCGAAGTAAGGTGAGCTTGAGCCGTGAAACTGTCCGTAAACCAAGTTAACGAGATTTGAAGATTAAAATTTAAGACAGGCGAATGAAATACTTTTTGCTAATATTGCTTGCTCAATTGGTGGAGGGATTATCGGTATGTAAATTTCAATGATTATTTATTTGAAACAAAGAATTGTGTTTTTTTAAATTTCTTTTTATCCCTTAATTTTTATTCTAATCTCCCCATCCCTAACTCCACCTTCGTGGTGCTACTGGCGGAGAGGGGAGGTGACAAAATCTGTCAGCAATGCGTTTATTCTCAGCAATGAAACTTTTTTGAAAATCTAATTTTAGACGCAATTAAATGACCATACATCGATATTTACAGATTAAAAAAATATTGTTATTGATGTACTAATTGCAGTTTTGGTTAAGATAAAAACAACAATATTCTATGTCGCAGAATATTCTGATTTGGTATGATTCAAAAGGGTAAATCGACAAAATATTGCTTTTTTGCATATTTCAATATTCTGTGAGTAAAGTAGTTTTCAGACAATGGTCAAAACTTGGATTTGACTGTATTGTCGTGATTCTAGCGTTAGAAAACCTATAAATACCGATTTTCGCGTAAATCAGTGTAAATTAGTACTTTGGCTGGTAATTTCGACGGCTTTTCGCGTGACTGACAGTCCTAGTGCAAGCTCTAATATCATTTTTCTCACCACCTAGGATATCGAATTTCGTGGGTGGAAATTCGTCTCAAAAAATTGTCAACTATCAAACATTGAAATTGGACTATTATTTCCATATAAAAAACGAGGTTAATTTCTGATAAACGTATTTACTTTAGAAATCTTTTATATATTTTTATGTTACATCGTTAAAAAGCTAACATTCTCTACTTTCAAATGGTATGTTTGACGTTAAAATCATTTTAGGCATTTTTGAATTAGCCGTTTTATTCAGATTGAGAACGAATTCTTAAAAATTGGAAAAATTTTAAGGATGAAAAATCGATAAATTTAAATTCAAACAAAAATTTATATTTAGGGGTCTCTAGGAGTGCTAAAACGAAATTTCATATTAATTTGACGAAAAAAATTTTAATGCCTAGTTTACTTGAAAAATATTTGGTTTTTAGAAATCTTTTGATTACTCATAAACTTTGATAGCGTTTAATATACTTTTATTGCAATATACATTAAAAAATGCAAATAAAAATATTAAAAAATGCAAAATAAAAATATTAAAAACTGAAAAATTTCAAAGTTCAACTTTTTTGGCGAAACCAAGACCTATTCACGAGAATATGCGGATACGTGTCCGATATTTTGAAGTGTAAAATTACCAAAAAAAGTTTGGTCCAAATCCTTGACACAACAACCCGGTCGTCTCTTTGTAGTTACCAACAAGCCTGTCCCATAAATCCATAGCGTTTTTTTTAATGATTTTCCCTAGTTTTCGTGCATTAACTTGACTTGCAATGCTACCTTGATTGATCCAATTTTGTTCATTTACTCTTTCCATGTAATGAAATAATTCAAAGTGTGGCGATTTCACATCAAAAGTCTTCATAATTGTAACTGTATAAAAATGATAATGCTATTGGCGAAATATGGGTTAATTTATGGAAAAACCGCAGCCCAGCAGCGCAAAGAAACCGGTCTTTGTATCTGGTTACACGGACAGTGAAGCGGTGCGACCTCACGCGAGTAGAAGCTGAAATCGTAAAGAAAGGAAGTGTCTTTAACTTTGCATCGTAGGACCTGTCAAAATAAAACTAGTTTCTTACATATTACGCTAAAAAAGTATTTTACAATTGACGAATTTATTTAATCATGCAGCAATAATACTTATGCATGTCCCTAATGATGGTAATATTAAGACCAGGTAAACCACCACGCGAAGTAGTATGATTTATATTCAATCTTGGTATTTCGCGTTAGTTGTATCCTTCCGCTAATAATGGCGGGCTGATTACAAAAGGTTTAAGAATAAGAAGAATATGAAGTAAAATCAACAAAGGGAAAAAATTCACTGAAAGCGCTCTTTAAGCGTAGCAGAATGAACGGGCATGCTACGTTTTGAGCAAATAGGATTAATCAATTCGAAAGTAAATAATGGATGTAAACAAAGCATTATTCACTGTTTGTTTAAACTACGATAGCTTCTAATTACTTGTAATTAATGTAGAAAGATAATGGATTTATTTTAAACTAAATAAATTGAGCCATTCATTAAATTTGTCCATCGGTGTTTTTAAAAGAAGAAAGGCCAAAAATTAAAAATTAAATAAAACACCATTGTGCGTTGTGCTTTTGTTTTTTGTATATCTTTAATTAAATACATGTTGTCAAGAAATTATTATGAAAAACGCGGTGCTATCAGATTAATCTTATTGACTAATTCACTCTTTTTCTACTCATTAAATATAACCTAACCCCTATTTCACTCGCCCGTTATACAGTCCATTTTAATGAGGAAGATACATTTAATTTTGGAATAAGATGGAAATTTCAGGTAGGATATCCGACCGGAGCTGTGCCCAGAAAATGTTTATCCGAGAGTTTTCCCCACGGTTGAGATGGAGTGGAGGTGACCGAACTCGGCCTAGCTTGATACGGTTTGTAATCCTCCCCTTCCGATTAAGCCCGCATTAATGAAGATGCTGCCTAACGAAGACATAATAACAGCTATTCGTTACACAGAATTCTAGCTTGCCGACATCCTCTTTCAAGAATTAATAATATTTATATTTTCATGTTTCCCCGGTCCCCAGCCTTTACTGGAAAATTACGTTTTATATTATTTAGCCTATTTATGTTTCAGTGGTCAATTTACCAAGTTACTTCTTTCAATTAATTAGACTTTTTATGTAAGCTCTTGGTTGAGATAAAAAAGTAAGTGTCACGAGCGGGATTCGAACCCGCGACCTTCGGCTACATACGCCAATGCACTACCACATGGGCTATCGTGACTTCGATCCTCTCGGACACCAACTTTCCTCTCAACCTACAACCGTTCGAAAAAGTTATATGTTATATTTATTTTAAAAAAACAATAAATTTTTTGAAAGGACAAGTATCAAACAAATATCTTTAATTTCAAATGCGACGATTATTCAACGGGCTGCCGGTGGGTTGTGTGGGTTTTTTATTTATCAAAAAAAAACTAAATTCAGAAATGTACGGTGTTTAGTGACCGTTAGTTAATAATTATTTCGAGATGGTGAGATGCGGGTTACTGGGACTTATACATCCTGAATGTATTTGTAAAATTTAAACAATGTTGATAAATCCCAGGCCCTGAAGATGATCTGAATAAAGGTCGAAACGTATGCACGATAAAGAAAATGTTTTTCTAAATCCTACGTCACACCAGACCGTCTCACAATCTCCAAATAATCATTAAATTCAGAAACTAAATAATTCTCTAACTTGCAGCCGCTTTGACAGAATTACAAATAATTTCATGAACGTCGGTGGCCGTACCTGCTTTGGCGTTGGCACGGCACTTACCACTGTAAGGCAAAGGTCCAGGATCGGAATCCAGCGGCCAAGCATTCGAACGCAGCACACTCTAAACTCCCGTTACGAGCAAAAAGAATGAAATCAATAAAACCTTCCCAAAAGTTTTATTTTTATTTTTCGTCACTTATTTAGGAGTTTTAGGCTAGTTTGTATGGTTCTAAATTCCATTAACGTTTACTATGTTTCGGAGTCATTTCAAAGTTATCATCGGTTTTGATTTTCGAAACAAACCCTGAATTCTGACCGTCAAGTAGGTATGCATATTCAGACTTCTCTCTTTCTTTTTGTTTTTTCTTATATTACAGAAATTCACAAAGTACGGGCATACTGCTAAAAAAAATTTAACAGTTTGAATTGCACATGGAACAAACATTGGCGAAAGTGTTCTCTTTATTACATGTGTTTATTACATATCTACAAGTTAGATTTTAACAATTATACTCTTCATTTTATAATTATGAAAACACATTTTGTTTAACTAATATATTTAATTAACCTGTGTCAATTGGTGCGATTAAGTATATTTAATAATATCTTAGAACACGAAAACATAATAGACTCGAACAATATCTAAAAAATATACACAAAACAAGAAAAAATAGGAACTATCTTTATTAGTCACTCCGATATTAGCATTAATCACGTTCATTGTTATTCAATGTCACTTAGGAGGTCGCGAGGCCATTGACGCTTCAGCCGTGGGGGAGGATTATTCGGGAGAGTGAGGGATGAAAGGCTTTTGACATGAGGGTTTGCGTGGCACGATAATTATTGTGTAACTTTTGTAACGGTTTTTCGCTAATTCAATAATATTGGATATTAAGGTCATTGAGAATTGTAAGACTGAACATATAAAAATGACCATTGACAATGGTTTTGAGGATTCTGAATTGTAGGAATTGGATACGTTGGAGGTTAGAACAATTTTGTTGAACACCAAAATTCGGTACTGTATACCTACCTGTATGGGTTTCAAAATAGTAATATAAATTAATTGTTTGTTTTGTGTAGTCAGTTTGGATTTGCTGTCCAGCAATCTTTTTAAGATGTCTGAAGCTTCTGTTTAGTTAATTGAGGTTAATTTAGTTGAGATAAAAAAGTCAGTGTCACGAGCGGGATTGGAACCGACGATCTTAATTAATTGAAATATATTAATTGGTCCAGCGGACCACGAAAAAAAGGAAATTTAATAAGTTTAAAATGAAGTAAACCTTCACTAAAGTTCTCCGTGGATATTTCATTTTTCGCCGAGAATCAAATAAATTACACGACATTTGAAAAATGGCAAAAAGGAGGGAAAATTCAAAAGGTGGGGTTGGGATGGGAAGTTAGTGTTCGAGTGGATCGAGGTCACGATAACTCAAGTGGTAGAGTAGCGGCTTATCTAGCCGAAGGTCGTGGGTTCGAATCCCGCTCGTGACACTAAGTTTTTCATCTCAACCACGACTTCAGATAAGAAATATAATTAGTTTAAATATTTTTTAAGAATGCAATAGAGGCAAATATGTAAAGATATTCCCAATGGAAAGGATAATTCGTCCACCTTTTACACCAAGCAATTATTTGTTTTTTTCTATTACTTTTGCAACAGTTGTACAAAACATTTTATCATAAGAAATTAATAACTTTTCCTACTTACTCCAAGTGTAATTTAAATTTGTACAAAATTTCATGAGGTCTCTTAGTTTAACACATAATTGAGGACGCTATAAGTTAGTTAAAATGACATTTACAACATACCATCAGAAACTTTTCTAGCTCTTCACCTCTCTTGATATCACAAGGACCTAATTGGACGCCCCTTGTAATGCATACAATTACCATAAATAAAGCTGAATATTACAGGAAATTCCTAATTGAGCATTTTCATTATAAAGAAAATAGTTAAGAAGTAATAATTGAATTTTTCGACCGTCTAGCAACTAGGGCAATTACCGGTTCCTCATGTGCTGTCTATCTCTCGTTTTTTTAGTTTCCTTCCATATTTGGTTAAAATGTCCTACGTAAATAAAAATTCCATGTAAATAATTTAAAAGATTATCTAACCTAAAATTGGCGGGTCTCAAGAGGTTTCCGATGTACTGCTGAGGACCAGCCCTTAGAACTACCCTTACAACTAAAATAGGGCCTAAACGTTGATGCCCCCCCTTCGTTCAAACCAATAAACACTTTTACACCCATTAAAAATCATGTATTTACCTAATTGTTTCGCAGGGTCTGCACGTACTCGATATTACTGACAGTCCATACATATACAACCGCTTCACGGAAATAAATACATTCACACTATTCAATAGTCACCAGTGATTTTGATATCACTCCAGTGACTACCCCTATTTATTGATATTATAATTATTAAATATCACGAAATATTAGCATTATTAAGGTGAATGAAGGGGCTTATCACCAATTGCCCCGAGAAATGTCGGACACTCTGGGTTAGTGTGAATCAAATGTGGTGTGTGCATGGATTTTATGTATATGATTGTATATATAATTTATATATACAAATGGCAGGGTTTATTCCCAATTACTACGAGCAATATCGAGAGTCTTGAGTAGTGTGAATGTAATTTATTAGCATGAATGCAGGGATATATCTCAATTATCCCGTGGGATATCGAGTACACTTAGGTAGTGTGAATGCTAAACAGTCTATCATGTTTATTTGTTATTTGTGCAATTTCCCACATTTGGGGTTCATAACTCATAACACATACGGGTTAATATTGATATTTGTTCATTTAAGCTATTTATGATGATGTGATGTAAGATGAGGAAATGAAAACTCTTTAGTTCAAGGAATTGTTTAAACAGATTGTGAATCAATTTATAATCGCATTAAAAATTTATTGGTATGGTATAATTTCCGATTAAATTCATGATTAAGTTAAAGTTATAAGGACTTTCGTTGAACAAATTTTCTTTTTTCCAGAAAAAAAAGCGTTATGATATATCAAATCTTTTCTTTTTCAGATTATGGGAAAATTGTTAAACAAATGTTCACTATTGTAAATGTTTAAACTTTACAACCTAACAGTTGGCATTTATAGATTACGGACAACCTTGACGAAAAGGTTCGGCGGTGATCAATTGATCCAAACGGTCCCAGGGGCAAAAGTCCTGACCGGATTTTTGGCCAGCGGGAGGAAAACTTTATTCGCCCTGTCCTCGATTGCTTCGAAGGTTCTATTTGTCCGGACAGCCGAAACGATCCATTATTACTCCGACCCTAAGACGAAACACAAAAACAGGCTCATATCCTTTATTATTGCGGTGCCGAGGGTTTAAAGGGCGGTAATACCACCAGAAGCCCTAGTCTTGTTTCTCTCTAGAATCATTGTAGTCGAAACTCCATAGAAACTGAAATTCTGTAACTTTATGATTATAATAATCCATATATGCATTTAGGAGCAACAATTGACGGCAGTAATTATTTTAATTAAATATACATTTGAACTAAGGTCTTGGTTGAGTTGGGGAAGCGAGTGTCACGGGCGGCATTCGAACCCACGACCTTCGGCTAGTACGTTGTTACGGGGAATTGGCGTCCAAGGTGGATCTAAGTCACGATAGCCCAAGTGGTTAGAGCACAGCTATACTAAACGGAAGGTGGGGGTTGGAATCGCGGTTGTGATACCAGCTATTTCATCTCGACCAAAATCTTAAATTAAAAGTGTAATTATTAAAATAATTTATGCTTATATATTAATTTTTGACTTTATTCTGTCATTGGCTAAAATAATTTTGACCTTTACATACAAATGTGTGATGATTAGTGACCGTTAATCGATGATTATTCAGAAATCGTGAGATGCGGTCTGGTGTGATATAGGTTTTAGAAAAACATTTTCTTTTTCGCGCCAACGTTTCATCTTTATTGAGATCATCTTCAGGGCCTGGGATTTACAAACACTGTTTAAATTTTACAAATACATTTAGGATGTATAAATCCCAGTACCTGAAGATGATCTAAATAAAGATCGAAACGTTGGCACGATAAAGAAAATGTTTTTCTAAAACCTACGTCATACCATACCGCATCTCACCATCTCCAAATAATTATTAACTAACGGTCCCTAAACACCATACATTTCTGAATTTATTTATTTATTTATTTATTTATTTATTTTTNTTTTTTTTATTTTTTTTTATTTTATTTTTTATTTTTTTTGGTAAAAACATGTAGGATGTGGAAAAAAGTGAATTTATGCAATGCAAAAAAATAGTGTTTGTTTTCTGCGTAAGTGTGCCATTCTTGCGTGTCGTTATCTCACTGGCACTCTCAACACGGCACGCAAAAATGGAACACTTACGCAGAAAACAAACACTTAGAATGAGTAGAAATATTTTGATTGAATATAAAAAATATTTTTTTGCATTGTATAAATTCACTTTTTTCCACATCCTACAGGTATTTGTTAAATTTAAACAGTATTTGTAAATCC